CTGCCTGCAGGCTGGGGGAGTAGTTGCTGGGGGGGGTGAGTGCTCTCAGCTGGCGGAGGACGCAGGGAGGGGGCCCAAGATGCTGGCTCTGGGCCCCCCATTCCCCAAGCTGGATTGTGCTGGCTGCTCCTGGTTCCTGTAACAAGTCTGTGCTACGCTCTGTCCCCGTGAGCCAATAAACCTTTTGTTCAACTTGCCGGCTGAGTCTCATCTGACTGCGGAGGGGGGTGCAGAGCCCGGGGGCTCCCCCCGCTCGAGGACGCAGGGAGGGGGCCCAAGATGCTGGCTCTGGGCCCCCCATTCCCCAAGCTGGATTGTGCTGGCTGCTCCTGGTTCCTGTAACAAGTCTGTGCTACGCTCTGTCCCCGTGAGCCAATAAACCTTTTGTTCAACTTGCCGGCTGAGTCTCATCTGACTGCGGAGGGGGGTGCAGAGCCCGGGGGCTCCCCCCGCTCCGTGACAGATGGAATCAGATGTGGCTGGGCGCACAGCTTGACGACTCCTCCAGCACATTGCAAAACAGGGAATCAGTATTAATAACGCACCAGAATGTTCCCCACAGCAGCAATTTCACAATCTTCGCCCCGGCATGCGCACGCTCACACCGGCTCGGCAGAAAGACTGTTCTGCTTCCAGTCCGCCTCATGCGCGCTGAGGCCAGGCTGCTGGGCAGGGAGGGGAGATGACGGGGAGGAGGGGGCAGGCTGAGAGCCCCGGCTCCGTTCCCCCCAGCTGCTCAACCTCTCAAAGTTCTCCGGGAACTTTTCAGGTACAGACACAAGTTGTCTCTGCAGACCCCGCTGCCCCCCCTCCTGTGGGTGTTGCTTTTCCGAAGGTGCGCGCGTTTCAAACTGGCCCTGGAGAGTGCGCGAAGCCCGCCCACGTCCCCCGCCACAACCGCCACCAACTAACGGGGGTGTTGGCAATGTCAGCCACTTTCGGCGGCTTTGCACGTCGCTCTGAACGTCTCGGGTTAGCAGATTGGTCGCCGGCCAAGAGGCTTGTAAAACAACCCCGAGGGAGCAGGGGAAGCTAGTAACAATCAAGTATTAATGTGCTTTTCCCGACGCCTGTTGCTGCACCTACATGCTCACACGCTGACCGGGCACAGGGAGACTAGAAACCCAAGATAACCAGTGCCCCAACTCTGCTCCCACCTTCTCCGGGCTGGGCCTGAGGCAGAGGCCTGGGGTCTGC